GGAGAGAGAGAGAGAGAGAGAGAGAGAGAGAGGATTCATGTTCACAACAGAGCTCAAGTCACTTACTACCAAACCACAACGGAAAAAGGCAAATCATCTATGAGGGAGAAGGTCCTGTCTGTCAATTGCTGCTTCTCACAAATTTCTCATGTTTTGAGACGATAAACACTAACGACATCCATCCGTGCTCCAGTCAACTTATAGAACAAACAGAGGTAGTGGTCATCAAGAAATTATACAGGGTCATAGGCACAAATTGAGTCACTGTTGTTGTTTCCTCCAGACTGGAGAAACGGAGGGAGAGAAAATTCTTCTACGAATGACCACATGGTGTCGGCAAAGGAGAGCAGCCAGGATAAACCACCGAAGCGGAGCTGGCCACCATCATGAGCTGCACTCGTAGATTGAGATCATTGAGCTGGGGAGGTGCGTGACAGAGTGAAGACAGTGTGTCTCCAGTGATGAACGGTGAGGTGTGTGTGTGTGTGTTTGGCAGGGCAATGCTTGCTCACATAGAACAACAACATTGAAGAATTAAAAAAGATACTTGGATGTTACTAGTCTGCGCGTTGCGGGGGTTCGTGCTGACCACAAAACTTGAGTTGACGGGGTCGGCCCGGTCAATTCAGACAACACATGATGTGCAACTTGATTCGACTAGTCCAACCTCTCGGTGACTTGGAAATGCGAGTCAACTTCAATTTCAATTGAGGGTGCCCCACAATTAGTGGTTGGACACCATCCCCCTTGTCACTCGGCTTTTTCTTTCCCTCGGTCATCAAGTGCTTATCGAGTTGATGTCGGCGGCTTCACGCTGAACCACATTCACATCTCATCTACTGTACCTAAATGACTTGACTTGTGCTTTCACTTCACAGGAACGCTGCCGAGCCTGTGCCATCAAGCAATTAACGTGTGAATGACTCATCGGCCTCGTGCTTGCCCAAATCATGGGAACGCAATGAACTCTCATATTACTTTGGCATTGTTAACAGTAACACTAATTGTTATTGTCGCTGACGTTTACTGTGTGAAAGACGAGAAGACGAAGCACGTGGTCACCAAACGGACAGTTTGCATCGTACGAAAAACGCCCTTCTTCCAATCATGCAAAGACACTTGTACCTCATCATGAAGCGCTGTGGGAGATAATTTATGATTCAAACGTGCATGAATAGGACACACACATATATATATATATATATATATATATATATATATATATATGTGAAACGGGCCAACGATTTTGGTGGGGCTCGAAGACTAACATCGTCAAAAAGACTTCGACTGTATGTACTACACGAATATGAATGATATCGTTCTAAAGAGTTGAATAAGAGACCTGTTGGGGATATGGATCGAGAGCATGAGAAAGTCTACGGGGTAGATAAGATAGTGTTGGCAACCTTTTTGGTGATTTTATGCAAAAACACCCATCTTTTGATTTTTTTTTTAATGTTGTCTTATATCTTCACCTTTTGGTGTAAAGAGTTCACATTTCCTGTAAAATATCTTTATAGTTTTTGATTAAATAAAGTTATGATGTTTTATTTCAGTGGATCGAATCTGATTTTTTTTAATGGGCTTATAATATTTTTAATTGATAACTAAAACAATATAACTTCATTTAAAAAATACTGTAATTGAAGTTCAATTACTTTAAGTTCTTATGAATATTAATTATCAATTTTATGATAAGTTTTGTGATTCTATAAAATTTCTTGTTGAGATGTCTTAAATGATTTTGAATGAAAAACAGGGTTATTTTGATATATTTTATAATAAGGGATAATAAGACATCATTTTTTCACTTAATCTTAAATTTAGGTATATATATTAATGGAAATCTTATTATATATATATATATATGTTTATTTACTAAAAAGTAATAATAATGGATGAAATATTATCTATCCTGTGGCTATATTTTTTTGATATACCAAAATACTATAACTCTACTTAAAATCATTGTGACCAAGCCATACTTGGTTGTATAAATCTTCAACTTTCTTTATCAACCTTATTACAAATTTTGATATTTCATAAAATGACTTTTATTAGAGTTTATGTGGTTTTGGATGAAAATTAAGAAGGTTCTGATACATTTTAAAATAAATAAAAAGGCAAAAATGCTTTTTTCCTCATTTATTTTAGGTCTATAAATGAAGATTTCATATGGTTTTAAAGTAAATATGTTAAAAATGGGTGCAATAAAAGATGATCAGAGTTCATTTATCACAAAAGAATGATAATAAATAAGGGTGAAGCACTACCCAATTATAATATTATTTTATGGAATTATTATATTTTATAATTTTGTTTAAGAACACCATAAGTGAGTCTGAATTAATTCAATTTCTCGTAAATCTTAATTATTAATTTCATTATAAATTTTAAGATTTTATAAAGTAATTTTATGACAGCCTTAGTGCTCTTGATAAAAATTAGGAATTTTTTCATATATTTCAGAATTAATAATAAGAAAAAAAAATTTTTCCCCCTCATTGGGCCTTAAAATTATATTATAGCTTTTGAAGAAATTTACAATATTAATTTCTATTAATTTTAAAAGAATAATAATAAGAAAATATGAAATATAAATTTTTTTTGATAGGATTATAGTGTTTTTGGGGTTCGATGAATTAAAACACTCAACTTTGTTCAGAGACGTTATAACCATTCCGGTTTGATTTAGTCGATTGTATTGTGATAGAAAACTGATTATTTCTAACAAAATATATCTTTAAGCAATTAAAAGAAAGTAATGATTCTTCATGAGAAATACTAATACATATGACACAATCAGATAACCTAAAATATGAGATTTTTCTAGACAAATCATCCACCCCTTTTATATCGTCTTATTAGTTTTCTCTTCGAAGAAAGCATATTCAGATTTGGACGTAATTATATGGTCCATTACCTTTGTCTTTTGAGTTTGCAAAATTATGGTTGGACCTAAACCTATCAAAAATCAGACTGACTTTTGTAAAAAAAAAAAAGATATGGCACATACGTCTTGAACATTCCACGGTCGTTCTTGATAGTGTAGCCACAAAGCTTCGGTCCTTTTCTTTGCTCGACGAGCGTCTGATACAACAAAGACGACTTTGACAAGAAAAATGTGACTTTTATTTATTTATTTATTTATTTTGGCCTATCAAATGAAGACTCCCTGCACGCGTCTCTTCGTCATCGCCACCTGCGGAAGAAACTTCAACCCGATGGAAGATGCAGCATGAGGTTAAGTTTTGACACGTTGCTATCGGCTGCTGAATATTATTACTACTGTCGGGTTGGAATTCCGATGGTCAAGCGTCAACTCGGATGAGCTGTGCTGAGTTAAGAGGTTCGCGTTCGAAAGTCCATCCAGAGGTCTTTTGTCCTTAATCTAATTTGGGACACCGAACCTTGTCTAACATATTGGTATATAAATATTATAGATTATGTGTGTTAAACTTATCGAACCAATTTTATATATATTTGTGATGCATATTAATTAAAAAATATATCAAAAATAATTTTAAATATGAAAATCAAGTATCTAAAATTAAGTTTATTAAAGATAATATTTATGATGTATGTCAACAAGAAAATTATAAAAATGAGTAACTTCAAACCCAAAAACTAAATACCTATATACCGCTATAACTAATTCATATTGATTTATTTGGATCAATCGATATCACAAGTCTAGGAGATATTAAATATACATTTATGATTGTTGATGACTATAGTAGATATACTTCGATATTCGTTTTAGAACATAAAAATAATTATTTTAATTATTTATTATTTTTTATAAATAAGCCTAAAAGAAAAAAGGATTTTATGCTTTCTTATATTCGAAGTGATCATGATGATAAATTTAAAAATTATAATTTTAAAAAAAATTATAATTAAATAGGTATGACTATAATTTCTCCAACAAGATGGATATGTTGATAGAAAGAACAAAAAACTTAAGCTATGACCGTACTGAATGAGCATAGTTTACTTAATT